CCTGCTGGATAAGTTGGCGGTTCATTCTGCTGTGGCGACCCCGGATTAATAAAGGGACTAATGAATGAATGAATGAATTACTCTTCAACCACTTTTCAGCGCTCTCTGGCTTGTATAAAAAAGTTGCTGTTATATTGTGAGTGGACAGCCATCAGAAACAAATAGAAAATGACATCAGAAGACCAGCGCTTTGAACATATAGAAACTAAATTCATGAAGAGTTGTTAAACTTCATTGTTGATTCCAAATATGAATTTTAATCATCAGCATGATGAAGCAGTTTTGGAGAATTTGATGTGTCCCCATTCAAAGAGATAAGAGCTGCACTTGCATCCCCGGGAGGCATTTCAAAGATGGCCAACGAGTGAAATGACTTGCCTTAAAGGGACTTTGATCTGACACAGTATGAGGAAATCATCTTTAATACTAGTTATATCCAGTCCTGAAAGAAATGATCGTAAAAAGCTCACAAATTGGGGAAAACTAATGCTAAAGTCTGATAATGTTTTGTTGAAAATATCTTATACAGTATTACATATTTGCTACCTCATATTCATATTTGCTGGTTTATATTCCGTCATGGTTGCCATCATAGCTTAAAGGGACAGTTCACCCAAAATTCAAAACTCTATAATTTATAATCTATAATTTACTCGCACTTTACTTGTAACAAACCTGTTTGACTGGGATATTTTGAAGAAAACTTAATCTAGTCAGCATTCTGGATGAAGTAATAAACAGTAAGAACATTCTCTTTTGCTAAGCATGTTAATGGCAAAAACCGATGGCAAGCTATCTCCGACTTTGTCAGAATATTCATTTTTAACTGCATATACGGCTCATCATTATAGCTTTTTCAGCAGTTGCAAATGATTGTGTCCACTCATCAGGTGCTGCCCTCTCTGATGAATGCCAATACTGCAATACACGTAGCTTTTACTTCTGACAGCAGACGTGTCAACCATCTTGTGGTCGCTAGAGTTTTGAAATGCATGGAGGAAACTTTTGTGGGCTGTTAATTTTGAAACCGTCTTGAATGACAGCCAAGAACTGCCCTGAGTGAACCCAGCTGGTCATCCGTCATTGTTAAAAACTTACATTCCTGATTGGGGTCTGGTCTGAGGCCAGCTCAGCACAGGTGCTTGGCACAGCATTGACATTAAAGCAGCTGAATATTGAGCTAAAGTGAAGCCAGAAAATTTCAGTTGCTGTTGTACTGATTACTGAAAACACCGGCTCGATAAAAGCCCATGGTTGAGATGCTCTTTGGTTCATTTAGATTACATGGCTGAGTGCATTCCTGTGTCACAGATGCTGGCTCTTATGATTCATTGTCTATGTTGAACATAGAGCTGCACAATTATTCGTAAAAAGATCGCGATCTTGATTCGACCCCCTAGACAATCTTAATCCAGCATTTCTACGATTCTGTCAATCATATTCTCAAGTTCAGGAGAGAAGCAATGGTGGCCGCAAGTCTTCACATTGTTTAACATAAGTTGTTCAGCAACAAGAACACCTCCAAATGGTGTTGAAAGAGTCACATGGTGTATTTATAAGATATAATTCACCCCAAAAATGTAAAATGTATTTGCGACCGCAAAATCACACGTGAAGTGAGCTGACCGTCAGCTGTTATCACAGAGGGAGGCACCCGCCTCTAAATGAAGTCTACTTTAGTGAACAGAACCTGCATAAGCTGTGAATAACAGGTGATAAAGTTGTAAATAACATTCAGTTTGCGGCACAGAGTGATCGTTTGGGAGCCGCGCAGAAAGTGAACCGCCCTTAGCAGTGAAAATGAAACCGAAAGTGCACACAGTGTTGCCAGATGTAGCTGACCGATTCCAGCCCAAAAAGTATCCAAAAGCTGCCGAAATGCAAAAATACCCACCCAGTCTTCTGTATTCATGAAAATCACGCCAGTGACAGATTTTAAGCAGAAAATTACAGACTGTAAGCATATGTCTCAAACACAATAATTCAACATCAGAATTATCATCAGCATTAATGACCAGAACAAATCTAAAGTCTGTTCAAGTCCACTATTCCAAGTCTATACAAAATTTAGCATTTTAACCAACAGTACAGCTACACAAAGCCTATTGTTGTTTTACCACATGTTTGAGAATAACCGTAATAGTAGCCCACTCATATTAACCTTTATTTTATATCTACAGAATCGTGAGAAAATCGTGATCTTATTTTTGGTAAAAAAAAATCGCGATTCTCATTTTAGCAAGAATCATGCAGCTCTAGTTGTACAGCTGTCAGAACTTATAAAGTAAGAAACAATACCTTAAACTTGCAATAATGGATTACTTTAGCTAAATCAAAGAGAGAAGATATTTTACAGAGTTAAATAAAAGTAAGTAAATTTGATTATAGAGATTTATTTTTTACTGCGTAATATTTTGGGATTTTTGCATCTTAATTGACAGTGCATTGCATTACATACTGTATATAAAATAGTGGGTAATGGACCATTTAAAAAACACATTATGATTAATGTTTGGTAGTGATTATAAAATATTTTTTTCATGATGATGCACTTAACTATACCTTGAGCTGGAGCAAAAAAAAAAACAAAAAAAAAAACAATGATTTTAATTAATTTATTTAGTTTTTTTTTTTTTTCTGTTGTCTTGTTCACACAGAAGCTTAAACCCACTTGTGCCATCTGTGTAAACTTGCAACTGATGTTGAGTATGTAGTTACTTTGTGATTTTCACCTTTAACCATAATGCAGTGAATATTAAAGACTCTGACATCAGAATTGCAAATTTTTACCAAACAGGACACAACAACAGTGTGATTTTCTTAGCTTTTACTTTTCACACGTCTACTCTTCCAATGTTATGGACACCCAATATTGTAGGAATGATTTTGGGACTATAATAAGTTGAAAACTTTGTACAAATTTTAATTAAATGAAATTAAATTAAAAAAGAAAGATGTCTGTGTTAATTCTTGCAGTGTCTTTCTCCATTACTCAGAGGTGCATGCACATTCTGTCACTCTGCTAGAGCGTTCCTCCAAGTCCCCAACACCTGACTCAGCAGAGGAGTTGGGTGCTTGGCTCATTACAGAAGTACGTATGGCTGCATTTAGTTTTTAAAACGAACGATATGGCCAGTATCTCTAGCACAGATTTGTCTAGTTCTCAAAAATGTATCCTTGGGCACATTTTCCCAACAAGCCTGTGTTGGCCTCCTAGGTAGGCCCACACAGGCTTGTTGGGAAAATGTGCCCAAGGATACATTTTTGAGAACTGACAAATTATCACCTTGGAATTATAAAGTTCTATATGCATTCTGAATGATTTTGTGATAATGAGCTTTAAAGTTTATGCATTCCATAGCAAACAGTATGTGTGTAATATTTATTAAAAAGTCTTAAAATGTAAACAACTTATAAAAAACATCCCATGATGTAAATAAGATGTTATTTAATAATAATATGTGAATAGCTCAATTTTGACAAAAATGTCAGAAAGAACCTTATAATTCTAAGTTTATGAAATATGTGCTCGCTGGTACACATCGTTGCCTTTTATTTGTAAAACGAACGTGGTAGCGTTGACTGCTTACCTTTGTATGGATGACTTTTCTGCCATGACTGGTGTGCTTGGTGACTCATCACCAACAGCTCCAGAATTGGGATGTGAAGTGGATCGGTTTACCAGTCCAGTGAAGGGTGGTTTCAAAAACCAGGAAAAACAAAACCCATAAAAGTAATGAAATCATTGTTGAAGCATGCAGTCCACCATGGCTTTTTGTTTTTAGTTTGCTTTTGAAAACACTAACCGTTGGGTTGTTGGTTTCAACATACAGTTGAAGTCGGAATTGTTAGCCCATTTTTGAATGTATTTAATTATTTTTAATTATTTCTCAAAGGATGTTTAACAGGAAATTTTCACATTATTTCTGATAACATTTTTTTCTTCTGGAGAAAGTCTTATTTGATTTATGTCAGCTAGAATTTGGCTAAAAGCTGTTTTGAATTTTTTTAGAAACAATTTTAAGGTCAAAATTATTAGCCTCTTTAAGCTATTTTTTTCAATAGTCTAAAAAACAAACCATCGTTATACAATAACTGGCCTAATTACCCTACCCTGCCTAGTTAACCTTATTAACCTAGTTAAACCTTTAAATGTCAGTTTAAGCTGTATAGAAGTGTCTTGAAAAATACCTAGTAAAATATTATTTACTGCAGTTTTTTATAAATCAGTTATTAGAGACATGTTAATAAAACTGTGATGTTCAGAAATGTGTTGACAAAATTTTCTCTACGTTAAACAGAAATTGGGGGCGGGAATACACAGATGGACTAATAATTCTGATCATACAGGAATGATAATCTTTTTCTGCTGATGTGCCTATTATTTGGTGAGGTCTAAGTCAGAAAATTAAATACTGACTTTATGGAGCCCCCATGGGCAAGTGTACTATATGGCTTTGGCATAGTTGTATGAATAAGACTATGAGAAATATATCATTATATTATTAAACCGTAATATTAAACCTGTTGTAAAAATGTAATACATTTTAGTCCAACAACATGATACTTTACTTGAAAGTGTTGTTTTCCTCTATTTATATCTCCTCCACAATTTATGCATGTAAGAGAGATCACTAATTTGCTTCATGTCCTGGATTCGCTTATTCATCAAGACTCTCTGTATTATTTATAAACGAGGTAAAAGGCAAGGGCGAACATCTTTATTTTCAGACGTCTGTGGATAGGAAGCTCGCGGTGGGAGATGACTGGCCTTACGCTCATCTACAAAGAGCCTCTTTTCCTTTGATATTCCTATGAAATTATCACATCTCGAATGGTTAAATCACAGCCTTCTCCTTTGCTCGCCAAAACCCTCTTTTGACCTGCTTTGTGTCGCCCACTGTCTGTGATTCAGAGTAGCTTATTAATTAACTTTGATGTTCGCTTATCTTTAACAGGATTCAAACTCATTTTGTCTCTTTTTTTTCCTCTTCCTTCAGTCTTCAGTGAAAGGAGAGAATATTACGATCTTCGGCTGTCTGAATCATGGGATGCCACTGTCTCTTCATGACAACACGTCAGTCTCATGTGAATCTGGTAAGATTCAAGATTTAGAATTTTACTCAAATATTATTGAAATTAATATATATATATATATATATATTAGTGCTGTCAATCGATTAGAAAAATTAACTAATTAATTGCACTTTTTTTGAAAATTAATCACATTTACAAGACCGAAAATTGTAATTTTGGCTATTCAAATCTAAAATTAATGTAAACGCAAGACAAAAACTATTTAAATTTGAAATATAATTGTTTATTACATCTTTTGTTTAACTTGTAACACAGATTTCTTCATGTAAACAACATACCCACAATAAACCATGAAGATCCATGAAACAATCAATGCCAATAAAGAAAAAAATATTTCCAAGTTATATTCTAAGTGGACTGCAAAAAAAATGCCAAATACAGGCATTGCAGATATGGAAAATGGAAAATTATAATAACAATTACGAATTGAATACATACAATTGTACTCATTGTATAGTTGTGTTGCTGTGAGTTGAGAGCATTTATTATAAAGTAGAAACAATTTTGCTTACATACACACTTCATTTACATGGACACCATACTCCGATTTTTTTTAATGTGATTAAGATAATACTCTTATTAAGAGTCTACCATGTAAGCAGCGACTTTTGATTACCTAAAGGACCACTGAGTCACAAAATGCAGGTTTTTTTTCTTTCCGTTCGCCATGTGGTATCAAATTCTATTAAAACAGAAGTTGAAAGGTAAAAATGAAACACCCAAAATTGCATGAAACTCTGGAGAAAACGCTGGATTGCCTGGTAATGTGACATTAATTGTTTTATACTGAAACTTGCCTTCAAAAAGTGCTTCCTTGGTCTTATCCATATTTCTTTGCACGTTAAACACAAGTAAATTTTTGTTAATGTGTTAATTAATTCAAATTATTTTCACGCACTAATTTTGACAGCACTGATATATATATATATATATATATATTAAGGGTGGAGCCGAACCCGAATACGGTATTCGGAAAGGCACGAATAGTGTGTTTTTACGAATACTTATTTCGAACAAATACTTGAAAAATTATTTGTATTCGGGAGCAAGAAAAACACTATATCAAAAAGCAGCGTTTCCTCAAGAGACCACAGTGCATGCCCGCGTGAGTGAGTGAGTGAGTGAGTGAGAGAGAGAGAGAGAGAGAGAGAGCGAGCGAGCGAGCGAGAGAGACGCTCAGTCGGAGGGCGGGGCGGAGGTGTCTGGCACAATCTTCTCCACAGAGACAGTCAGAGAAGGCTCGGCTGAGCGAAAAAAACATTTTACTGCATCACTATTTTTGTTAAATAGATTTTTGTACCTTAATTGGGTTCCAGATGCAGTTTATAAACTTGTAGTGGAGTTTGATCGGGATCGGGAAGTTTGCAATCGGGTGCTCTCTGTTTACGCAACGTTAGCTCTGTTAGCGCGGTAATTTAGACAATAGACTGTTGACAGAGTAACATTAACGTTCGTTTATAAAGGTTAAAATGATGCTTGTGCTGTTGTGTCGAATATTATGCACTTATGGGAGTTATACGGTACGTCTACATTACTGTCTTTTGCAGACAGCAAGATATATGCTATAGGCTAGTTAACCTTAGCATAGCTTCCCGTCACTTTTTATTAACTTGAAACTCCTCAAATACATTTGGGCACCCGAATAGAAAAAGAGTGAGACCGCTTCTGAGCCATTTCTTGGTCCTCCACCAGTCAAAAAAAAAAAAAAAACATGTTCTTTGTGGAAGAATTTTAGTCAGTGGAGCTGCAGATAAAACAAAGTGATACTGTATAATGTGGGCAAAAGTGAAATCGGCAGAGATATTAAACATCTGTCAACATCTTCTATGCATAATCATTCATTTCTTTTCGGCTTAGTCCCTTTATCAATCTGGGGTTGCCACAGTGGAATGAACCACCAATTTATCCAGCATATGATTTACGCAGTTGCTGCCCTTCCAGCTGCTATCCAGCACTGGGAAACATCCATACACTCTCTTTCACACACATACAATAGGGACTATTTAGCTTACCCAATTCACCTGTATTGCATGTGTTTGGACTGTGGGGGAAACCGGAGCACCCAGAGGAAACCCACGCCAACATGGGGAGAACCCAGTCAGGGCTCGAACCAGCAACCTTCTTGCTGTGAGGCGACAGTGCTACTCACTGTGCCACCGCGCAACCTTCTATGTAATGTATTATCACATGCACTAAAAGCATCCTCTCCTGATACTGTCTGTGAACCCCCCACAAGCATCAATCCCCTCAATCAGCACAGCTATGTTCTGCTAAATCCTCCACAAGCACCAAACCATCAACACAGCCACATTCTGCCCCAGCAAGTCAGTTTCAAACATAAAAACAAAAAAAAACTTTGTGTCTGTTTTGTGGCAGGCAGATGACAAAAGCAGGGCTGTATCTTTTAGTATTATATAGAATACTTTTGTTCTGCCAGATCCCCCAGGCAGGGGTTTATTAAGATTTATTTAGTTAATTTTAGTATTTGGAATTCTGTCCATTGGAAAGAAGTTCTTTCAGAAGAAGAACAGTTTTTTGAAATATTATTTGTTTTATTCTGTCTATTCAGTGTCCTTCAACAAGAACAGTGGTGGTGGGGTTCATAATATTCACAATGGTATTTTATTAGTTGTTGGTTTAACCATGGATGAGATAATGGCTTCTATGTTATTTTCTTTTCAATGACATTTCTTGTCACATTCAAAAACAACAGCCAATACTGCATATCTATAATTTATATAATGGGTATAATTAAACAATACTTTCACTATAATGTAAATTAGAAGTGTAATAGAAAAAATATATATTTTTGCGCCATTTTGAATTTTACTCGAATACAAATACAAATACAAATACAAATACTTCTCCCACTCAACAAATACAAATACAAATACAAATACCGGCTGCTCCGCACATCCCTAATATATATATATATATATATATATATATATATATATATATATATATATATATATATATATATATATATATATATATATTTAATATATATATAGTAATGCGTTGCGATATGAAGCTCTTAAGGCCGTACAATATTCAAAAGAACAGATGCTGAAATAGCAATATTAACTAAGATTGTTAAACAATCTTTTTTTTTTTTTTAATTGAACTAAAAAAACGTAAACTAGATTATTTGTTAAATTTTTTTCTAAATGTTCTCTTGCCATAGTAAACAGTGAAATAATAAATATTAAGAAATAATAGTATTAGCTATGAGAAGTGAAAGGGGCATTAAATATTATATATAATGTTATAGTATACAGAAATTCTGTTTTAAATAAATTATTTTCAATTATTACATTTTAAAAGACCTTAAACAAATGATCTGTTCCCTATCAATTTGTCATTTGAAGTCAACTCTTAACTGACAAATTGGAATTCATTAGATCAATAACTCTGAGTTGTATAAAAAAGTGGCAATGAAATTATTATAAGGCCACTCTCCCCACTACAGCACTGGCTGAACAGCCAAATCCCAAGAGGGGCATGGCACACTGGCTCACATCAAGAGACCTTCTCTCCCATACGGGAAGTGTGACATGTGCAATGAGCATGCAGCCTTGGGTTTGTTGTCTGGTTCCTGGCTGCATTGGCATATCATTTATGACAATTTTTGTTCTTGCAAAAGAAATACGACTTGGTCAGGACACCCATGACCTAGACTGTTGATCTGCACAAGACGTTTCGCCATAGAAGAAATGGCCGTGTCCAACTGAGCCTGGTTTCTCTCAAGGTTTTATCCTTCACTTTCACCAGTTGGTGAAGTTTTTTTTTTTTTTTTTTCTCCTCGCCACTGTCACCACTGACTTGTAAAGCTGCTTATAGATGGATTACTTTTCAGTGTTTGTACCATTAGCAGTGAATAATAAACCACACTGAACTGAACTAAACTGAACTGACCTTAAAACTCAGAAAAATGGACTGACACTTTCAACTCACTATCTTCTATGTAAAGCTGCTTTGAAACAATCTACATTGTAAAAGAGCTATACAAATAAAGATGAATTGAATTAAATTGAATTGAATAGTATGTTGCGTCACAGCGTCCTCTTTCTTGAAGTCTAAGGGTAGCTAGTTACGAACCCTGAAAATTACAAAAATGTCCAATCTGGCAGTTGAGCCTTCTAGGGACGTTGGATAGTTTCGTCTTTGGTGGTGTTAGTGAACTCACACTAGACGCTTGACGAATATTACCTAAATTTGTAAATTTGTTCAGGAGCTGTGGTCTAAATCTGTTGCTTTAGACATAATTTGAAGTCCCTGGCTGATTTTAAATAGAAGTGATGTATTGTTATGTGTATTTATAAAAATGAATTCCCATCTGTTGGTTTAGGCATAACGTCTTTGTTTCCTCTGTCAAGGAGGTGTTCTCAACATTTTTATTAAGATTACTATAATAATTCTTATGACAATAATATGTTCTTGAGACATTAGAGCGTGTCTTTGGCAGCCATAACAACGTCTGTCAAAAACAAAAAAACAACAATTTTTGATTAGTAATAATTAGTGTTTTAAATTGTTTTACAATTTAACAATATGTTAGTTGTGTTTTGAATTGATCGTTTTGGGCTGTTAAACACACTCTTTTTCATTCGTGAGCCACAATCTGCCAGTGTGTTGATCATAAATTTAACTGGATTTTGGGGAAGCATAAAGTTTACATTTATTTTTAAATGTCTTTTAAATGACTTTGAGCACATTCTCAGCTGTAATCTTCATGAAGACAACTGAATTTATACTATTGTGCGAAGTTCCCTAGGGCTTTGTTCCAAAATCATGGCACTAAAAATAATAGAATGCCTTTTTTTGGATGCAATTCGAGTGAAACAAAGAAAGATGTTGCCATTTATATGCAAATGCCATATAAATTGTATCTCATGGTTGCAGGTTAGATGCGGTAAACTTGCTTCCACCACATAAATCTTATTTTATGGTCCGTAACATAAACACATCAGCACATCATTCAGCTATACACATACTAGGAAGTTCTATATAAACTATCACACTCATAATTGTTAGTTTACTTGAAGCCAAAGGTGGCATGATTTGTCTTGTCCTTTTCCTGCTTGAGCTTCCAAAAATTCTGAGCTTATTTTTTTAAATCAGATTTATTGTCATGTTCATCCAGTACAACGTAAAAAAATTATAACTTAATTTTTAACTAAACTTACATGTTTTGGAAAATTTATTTATTTATAAATTTTATTTTTAATTTATTTATTTTTATTTATTAAATGTTTTATCATTTATTATTAAATGTTTGAGTATTTTAACTTACCAATGTACTTTAAGACAAGTATTGTTATTCTAACCTTCACATTCTGTAACAAATTTAATAAAACTCAATGCTAAAATGGGCTTTTCTTTAATAATGCATGCCTTTTTGCTGACAATTAATTGGGTTTAGTTAGGTAGAAATCTGCTTGTTACCTGTTTGTTAATTTAAAATTTAGATTCATTTTTATAATTAGTATATATACATAAATACCTTAATAAAAACAAGTTTTATAACTTAATCTTTTAAATTAATTTACTTAAATGTTTTATTTTAACTTAATTCTGAACTTGTCAGGTTTTATAGTGCAAAATTTTGCAATTTAAGCCATTTTTATTTTACCATTTAAATTTAATCTTACAACTTCCTTCTTAAAACGTTGATTTGTTTTTAATAAAAATGTATTCTAAATTGCACAGTTCGATAAAAATAAATATGTCTTTTTTGAAGACAATTTGTGTGAAACAAATAAGCATTTGCAGTATAATAGCAGTATAGTATGGTGTAATAATAGTTAATTATTAGTACTATTAGAATTATTAGTATAATAATAGTTTAGTCAACCAAAGGTGAAACTTATTTTATTTTGTGTTGTTTCTTCATCAGAATCAGTTTCAGGATTTCATCTCTCGATTAACAACACCTCAAATATCACCAAGCTGAGGATTCCCTACCCACAGACGGGCACGTGGTATCTGAGCCTTCGCTCTCTGTGTGCCACTGAACACGGGTGAGGACATTTGCATTTCTTCAAATCTACACTAACATATCAGACTGCCGTTTAGCAATCAAAATGTGTTTGACTCTGCAGAAATGATGAAAAAATATTCATAGCACTCCATACATTTACCTTCTTCAACATTTAGCAAGTACAGGCTGCGAACTGTGTGGTGTGTCTTATTTGCTAGTCTGAAATTCTTGTTGAACAATTCATGAATTCACTTTTATGTTGCCCCAGCTACTCGTAACCTTATTTTATCTCATTGAAAATTAAAATGAGTTCTGACAGCGAGAGTTCAGATGAAGTTTGACGTCTTCATATAAAAATGCATGCAGAGGCTGTACAGTGTGAAGTACCTTCAGAATTCCTTAGGGATGATAAAACATCTGCTTGCCTTTGAATGCAAGGTCGTTTTGATTTAGTTTAACATACAGCCTTGAAGGCCACTTGAAAATTCTCTGGAATAAAAAAATTAAATTCTTTAATATTAAGCTTTTTTTACATTAACCATTTAGTTTTTATCTGTATATTAATAAAACAAATAAAATTAAACAATACCAAAATTTTGATTTCAAAAGAGTTATGCAATGAATAGTTGATGGAATATCTATAATTTTCAATTACTTCAAAGGAATACATTTGCTATTCTGACCAATTGTCATTTCTGCAAAAGCAAACAAACAATCTGTAACAATGGTCAGGGTGACAACAGAGTTGAAGGTCCACATGCAGTTTATTTAAAAGAGTAGTCAGGCAGGCAATCGTCAAAACAGTAGGAATGGTTGATAAGAAAATGTTGTTTTGGCACAATGTCGAGATCTCGAAGCGCAAGTGTTTTGAAACTCCACCGAAGCATGATCCAAAACACCCAGGTCACATGGCTAAGTTGAAACAAGACATATTTATTCCCAAAGTGTTCATTCAGATGTCAGACCAATGTTGTTCGTTACAAGAACAGAGCATTTAAAAACTAACATCTATAGCAGCACCACCATAAATTCAAACCCATTATCTCTGAATGCTAGTCTGGAACTCTCACCGCTTCCCTAAATTACTTGAAAGCGCAACTCTACAATGTGGGGTTTAATACCTCAATTTGCTAAACTGTTTCTTTGCTAAAGCTGTTCCAGAGCAATACATAAAAAATGACCACTAGGTGTCACTGTGGAATGGGGTTTCGAAATGTTTCGAAGCTTCGACACATTTGTTAAGACTTTGCTGAAACACATTTGTTTAAGTGTTTCATGAAGCCTTGCTTTGCCCACCACTAATGACAACGAAGTTGAGGGTCTACGGGCAGTTTATTTAAGTGAGGTCAGTCAGGCAATCGTCAAAACGGGTACAAACAGGAGCATATAGACAATCCAAAGAGCGTGGTTAAAAGCAGACAAGAGATCGGTGCAGGCAGCAAACAGGATAAACAATAAACAAAATACGGGTCCAAAGCACATAAAGGCTAGACTAGGGATGGCTGGCGTGAAACTGACAATTTGACACAATGTCAAAAAAGCGCAAGTGTTTCGAAACAATTCACCGAAGCATGATCTGAACCACCCAGGTCACATGACTAAGGTGATTTGAAACACCCAAGTCACATGACTAAAGTGTTTCGAAACACCAGGTCTTGTGACTAAAGCAATTCAAAGCATGGGTTGTTTTAGAATCGTTTCGAGACTTGGCGAATCTGCGTTTGACTGACAGGGTCGGAAATAAACCTCTCATAAATCTCATATAGTCTAGTGGACCGTTTGTTTGCACAGAGTAACTGTGCTGTAAATTTCGACTTGTACAAATACTCTGTAATTATGACTTGATGTATTTTAATAATCTCACTTTATGACTAAAACAAGACATATTTATGCGTTAATATAGGTAAATTTCCACTAGTTGTCACTGTAGAGACGGGTTTTGAAACGTTTCGAAGCTTCAACACATTTGCTTCGACTGTTTCAGTGTTTCATCAAGCCTCGCTTTCAGTCCATCATGAGTTACCAGCTGTATGTGTGTGCGTGCGTGCATGCGTGCGTGCGTGCATGCAAGCATGCGTGAGAGAGAGAGACTGTCGGCTGTGGCAAGAGTGATTGGAGCAATAAATGGGATTTGTAGTTAATATAGTGTCCAGGTGATAATGTATGTTTTCCAGCAATGTGCAAAGCCTAGATCGCTAGTGATCAAGACACAAAGTCCTAATTGACAATGTTTTTATTTGAAATAGACAACGACATTTCTTTATTATTATTCAAACCAATATCTAATAAATCCAGAAAAAGAGAAATTGTTCCCTCATTTCTGTACCAAAGTAAAGTTCTGTCATCATTTACTCACTCTTCATGTTGTTCCCTTTATTGTGTGTGTTTCAACCATGGAACACAAAATTGCACACAATTACAAGACTGCACTGCTCTGTATTTTCTGTGAACGTACACTGAATGGCATTGAAGGAATACAAAAGCACCATACAATTCTTTAAAAGCAAAATGCCCACCCTACTATACCCCACTGTAATTTTTCAGAAAGCCATAGCTCTGTATGAAAAACACAACACAGGAGATAGCATCTCTAATTTCAGTTACTTTCTTACGCAAATCTAAAGTGCGTTTGCTATGTTAAAAGCATCAGTCGCTATTCATTTCACTGCAAACACAGAATTCACCAAATGCTCTGAGAATTTTCAGATTTTTTTCATTAGTTTGGTCTCCAAAATCTTCCAATCGTAACTCCTTGTCATCTCTGTGATTTTCCATAGGTTTGAGATGTGCACTAATGTAACAGCCGAGGTTTACCTTCGCTCTTACCTGACGCCCTGCATCAATGACTGTGGCACTTATGGCCAGTGCAAACTTCTGCGCACCAACAACTACCTGTACGCTGCATGCGAGTGCAAAGCAGGTAAGACAATTTCTTCATACATGTGTTCTCTATTGTAAAATGAGTGGTGTGTGCTCTCCTAAATTAAGCTTCTTTCCTGGCATTGATGCTTCAGAAGAACCTTTCACCATTAAACTGGAAAAAAGTTATTTAGATGATCAAAATGTTATTCATGCTAGAAAAGAAAGGTTTTTTAAAGAGTGGACATGAGTCATAAATTTGTGAAGAAAAATACGATGGACTGTCCTTGAATTTGCTGGTGTGTGTACGAAGTTGTATTTGTTTATGTTCACATGCTCAAGTCATGGCAAAGCACTTTTCATTTAAGGGAATTTAAGTTTCAGTTATACTGTTCAAGATAGTGTTTGTTCAGAATATTCATTCATTCATTTTCCTTCAGCTTGGTCACTGTATGCATCAGGGGTGGCCACAGCGGAAAAAACAGCCAACTTATCCAGCCTATGTTTTACACAGCGGCTGCCCTTCCAGCCGCAACCCAGTACTGGGAAACAACTATATACACTCATTCACACACATACACTACGGCTGTTTAGTTGATTCAATTCACCTGTACCACATGACTTTGGACTGTGGGGAAAACTAGAGCACTCAACAAACACCACACAAACATGGGGAGAACATGCAAACTTAACAGAGAAATGCCAACTTGTCCAGCTGGGACTGAAACCAGCAACCTTCTTGCTGTGAGGCAACAGTGCTAGCCACTGAGCCACTGTGTCACCTTTGGTCAGAATACAGAAATCCAATTTTTTAACACATTTTCAGCCTTTGCCTTTTGATCTATTTGTGTATTTATTTGTTTTTTCATCCTTTGTTTTAAAGGACAGTAGGGATATTGTATGAAAGCTGAGTGGGGAGTGGAATTGGCAAAGGTCGCTGAGAGCTCAGTCATGGTACATTTCTTTGTGTTTATCCATAAGGCTTGATTTAGAGACTCTTAGGTTCATTTTTGCATTTATACAAAAATTACTCTATAATTCAAAAGTTAAGGTTGATATGATTTTTAATATTAGGTTATAACAGTAGTTCTCAATTCCGGTTCTCGTGCCCCCCACCCTGCACATTTTGCAGGCCTTTTATATTTGACACACAAGGATCAGTTCATGGATCTAGCTGTTAAAGTTGGTGATCTGAATCAGGTGTAAGTAGTGAGATACGCAAAATGTGCAGAGCGGGGGAGCCCGAGAACCGGAATTGAGGACCACTGGGTTAGAAGAAGTTTGTTAGGCTGACCAATGCTGCATCAAAATAAAAGCCACAATAAAATATGTATTTTTCAAAAAGCCTTTTTTATAGCAGCTATCACCCTAAAACATTAGAAAATAGAATAGAAATCATTGTGATATGCTGATTTCTTCATCTAAAACTAGCATTATTCTCAGGCTATTGTGTATAGTTTCATTAATATTACTCTTAGTGCAGAGAATAGGATAATTTTCATTTTTCAAAGTTAAATGACTGAGCACAAACATAGGAGACTGAGAAAAAATTTACATTTTAGAGGAAAATTTCAGACAACACTTCATTTTATATATATCTATATATATATATATATATATATATATATATATATATATATATATATATATAAATTTTATTCTGAATGTTGAAATGAATGAATGTTGAACAATATTTTAATTTTAAAGCGGAAACAGACAGTAGATGTAAAGGGAATTTTCAGGATTCTTTAATATGTGTATAGTTCATGTATTTATTACTTTTAATAGATTCTTTAATAAATAGAAAGTGTATTTTTTTAAAAAGACCTTTGAATGTTTGTTAAATATTAATTTAAATCAAAATCAGTAGTCCCAAAATGACTAATAGAAGATATTAATAGAATTTCTGTTTACTGCACTTATAAAATGACACGTTTGAAAACTCCTAGAATTATTTTATTTCATTGCAATAAAGGAGCAGAAATCCTGTGTCATTTAACAAAGTAAATAAGTCAATATTCCTCCCCCTGCGGTTAATGCAGCGATAATCACAGTAATATTTAATAATTTAATTTATTAATTTTTCTCGTCTACTGTCAGATGCCAATCAAAGTTAATAGGCATGTTAAATGCTTCAATTACACATGTGCCAATCATGTCGCTCTATAACTGTGAGATCACAAATCAAGTGGTTTTTAATTAGAGGACATTTGATGATCCTGAGAAATATGCTAATCACAACCTCTCAATTACAGCGCCATTATGAAGCTCTGGTGCCTCGTTTCCCTGCTCCCCCCGGATTCCTACCCAGTTTCTTTTGTGATTAGCATAGACAAATTTACCCTTTTAATGAATGTTTTCTGGCAAACAGCTGAGAGCTCTGATACCAGCGCACATGTGACGCTCGTCTCTGTTCTCGAGTGCCTGCTAAAGCTCAATTGACCGTCTTTGTCGACACTCAGTGAGACTTCAATCACTACACGCCTTTGAGGAATTTTTTGTTTGTGGTTCGGCTAATTAAGGCGTCGTAATCAGAGAGATTTGTGGTATGTTTTCTGGCATTTTCTATGAGAGGTTAGAGGTGCAGTACATCTATTTCCTTCACGGTGTTTATATAACAGTAGGCTGCCCGAATCCAATCTATATTTATGAAGCTGTTTACAACAGCTGACAGATGAGGAACAGGATGTGTTTGTGTGTGTGTGTGCGTGTGTATGTATGAATGAGGGAGAAAGTACATGTGCATTTCTGTGATGTTTATTCCTTTGTTCATTTTACATGCATTTTCTGCGCGTGTGCTTATTTTTAGCTTAGTTTGCTTTGAGGACATGGACAGTAGTATATTGTGGAAAGTCTATGATTCCCACCAGGCACACAAATACAAGGAAAACAGGTTGAAATCCTGTTTAGGCTCATTATTATACTTCTTTTATACTGAAAGCATGCAAAAAACATGTTAAGCTGAGTTAAAACATGTTAAAAACATAACAAAAAAACAAAAAACGTGTTTTTTATATGTTTATTTTTTTAAGTGGTCTATGATTCACACTAAGACTACATTTATTTGATCACAAATACAATGAAAACAGGTTGAAATCCTGTTTAGGCTCATTATTATACTTCTTTTATACTGAAAGCATGCAAAAACATGTTAAGCTGAGTTAAAACATGTTAGAAACATAAAAAAAACAAAAAACATGTTTTTTTACATGTTTTTTTAAGTGGTCTATAATTCACACTAAGACTAAATTTATTTGATCACAAACACAATGAAAACAGGTTGAAATCATGTTTAGGCTCATTAATTTACTTCTTTTATACTGAAAGCATGTTAGAAATATTATAACAAAAAACAAACATGTTTTTGTACATGTTTATTTTTTAAGTGGTCTATGATTCATACTAAGACTACATTTATTTGATCACAAATACAGTGAAAACAGGATGAAATCAGGATGAAATCCTGTTTAGGCTCATTATTATACTTCTTTTATACTGAAAGCATGCAGAAAAAACATGTTAAGCTGAGTTAAAACATGTTAGAAACATAAAAAAACATGTTTTTTTGTTTTTTTTAAGGGGTCTATGATTCACACTAAGACTACATTTATTTGATCTCAAATACAATGAAAACAGGTTGAAATCCTGTTTAGGCTCATTCTTCTGCTTTGAGGACATGGACGGTAGTATATTGTAAGAAGTCTATGATTCTTACCAGGCTCACTAATACAAGGAAAACAGGTTGAAATGCTGTTTAGGCTTATTATTAATATTATTTTATACTGAAAGCATATAAAAAACATATTAAGCTGAGTTGAAAACATGTTAGAAACATTATAATAATAAAAAACATGTTTGTTTTTTTAATCCATATTTATTTTTTTTTAGTCTATGATCCTCACCAAGTCTACATTTATTTCGACACAAATACAAAGAAAAGAGAGCTTGTTTAGGCTTTTTCTTTTATACTGAAAGCATGCAAGCAACATGTTGTGTTAGAAACATGAAATGAAAAAAAACTTGTAAATTCATGTTTAAAATAGTTGCAACGAGGTAACTCAAGCTAGAAACATGTTAGCTACGTTAATGTTAAAAATGCTACTGAGGGGTTTTGCTACCAATGCTACTCTTAATTCTCGCTAGCAACATGCTTGTTCATGCTAAAGCATGGCAAGTGACATGGTAAGTCATGCTACAGTAGCAACATGCTATCACCAAAACATCAACGATTAAAAAAAAAAGATAAACAAGTAACAACTTAACAAGCATTCATTTCCTTGGAAGAAGAAAAATATATTATACGTTAAGTGTACTCTCAAAGGGATGCGTGTATTCAAAAATAATAAAAGACAAATCTGTCATCATGCTACACACTGATTCATAGTAGTGAACAGAGACTGAAGCTTTCAAGATTGACACTATAACATGTTAGGAGTGGTCGGTAATAGATATGTGTTTTTCTAGGTTGGGATGGCTGGGGTTGCACAGACAACACTGAGGCATATTCCTATGGCTTCCAGTTGCTATCAACTCTGCTTCTGTGCCTCAGCAACCTGATGTTTGTCCCACCGGTGACTATCGCTATTCGCAGTCATTACCTGCTGGAGGCATCCGTCTATATCTTCACCATGTTCTTTTCCACTGTAAGTTTGATGACCTGCTTCAATCCAATCCAATATAAACAGGTTACCCTTTATGTTAATGCATGTCTTTCTGCAACTATAGCTCAATCAAGTCTTCATAATATTAGTAGACTATTAAGTTTTTACTCATGTATAAAAAGTAGGGTGACTGGCTGAGCTGAAGATTTTTGTTGGTTGTTTTTTACACAGTTTTCTATATTAAACATAATGTTTTTACAAATCAGTTTGATAAATTAATGGGAAAAAATGTTTAAAAGATGTTCATGAGAAGAACTTAAACAAGCTGTCTCCTTAAGTCCCAACTAACTTAACTGTGGCCTGATTTAATGGAAACTTACATCACGCCACTTTTTTTTTTTTTTTTTTTTTTTTTAGATGAAGTACATCAGGGCCTTTAACTAAAATAAGTTAACATGAACCTGCAAAGTTTTGGGATATACTAATATACAGTGCTATACATGATGTGGCTTAGAATGAGTCCAAAAAAAAATATTACTTTTGGTTTTGAGGGAAGGCTTGTTCAGCCAATTACTTTACAAGATCCACCTTTGTGAGTTATTTAGAATGCATCACTTCTATATTTCAATGGTGATACATCTGGTTTATAACATAACATGCAGCAGCCCCATGCACTGCAAAGGTGATTAGAGCTGCTGGATTTACAACACATCAGTTCATTAACTTTGCCTAAACTACATGATAGTAAGAGGCTGTTTAACTGGGAAAAGAATAGAGAAAATATTCTAGTAACCTAAACAGTGTGCATCTGTTTTAAATAGCGTACAATGTATCTGTAAAAACCTTTATTATTGTCATCTCCCATAGAAAAAAGCACTTTTTATCTAGCTAGTAAATATTTGTATTTGCGGTAGAGCAGATTTGAATTCATCAGATTAATGGTGCAATGATGCCCTGAAATTTCTAACCACACCAGTGTGATTGTATGCTCAGGGGCTAATCAAGACTAATTGTATGTCAAATAGTTATTAACAAAGTTGTTTCCCTCTTTTAATAACAGCAATATCAGCACTGTTAATGACACTCGTAAATTACCCAGTATTTAACTGTAATGTGAACTGTATTTTATTGTAGGACAGTTATACAGTATGTTACTGTATTTCAAAGTTACATTGTGAAAATTACTGCATATTTTACAGTAAATGTATTCAATACTGTATATCTTTACTTTTAGATATATTACAATACTGTATATTATTGTCTTGATAAAATCTTGACTTGTTGTGGGTAACAAAGGTGACAAACTGCGTTTCTTCACGATCAGTCATTCTTTGATTTCTATGACAAGCGTTATTTTCCAAAGCCACGATGTTGCTAACAATATTTATTATCTGAATTTTATTTTTTAAATGTTATTTCAATCTCAATAAACACTGATGCTTGCTGACAACTAGGCTACACTATTTAAGGGCATTTGTTATGACATTGGTAGGATCAAACATATATTTCTTTTTTTAATTATCTTCTTATTTTTAAGATATTTTCTTTTAAATCTGAATGTATATTTTCCAGCCATGGGTGACTTATTAGTGAGACAGAAAACGAAAGCACATCAGCGCCAAAGAAAAAGGGAAGTGCTTTAAAACCAGTCTGCTATGCTATATGTGTTGCTTTGTTAAATAAAATAATAATCTAGCCTAAATAAAATTAATGTGAAATATTCAGTTTCAGAAAAGAAAAAGATTAAACATGCTACACTTTCTGCAATGATGTTGTGAAGCGTCGCAAACATGGGATCGGTTGTCATGATCTATGCCAGATTACAGAAGAAACAGTTGAGTCTTGCGTCATGATGCCCATTAGTCGAATCCCCAGGAGATCAAGGAACCCCTACATCAAGTACACCCTACATCAAGAAAATCATGCCAAAATCATGAGAAATTTGTGTGATTTGGCCAGGGCTTAAGTTACTGTAGATTCTACAGGAAATTGTTAACAGTGTGATGCAGCACTACTCTATAGTTACTCAATATTATTATGAGTTTGGGCAAAGTGAGCATGATGAATCCCCTTTAAAAAGACAGTCTACTAGTACTCTAATAACCACTTGTAAACAAATTACTTCTAGTTGTGATGTGATGTCTAAAGTGGGCCTTTAAAAAGGTACTGGTAGGTAGTAACGTTTTCTTGTCATATATTTTCTAAATCATGATTGAATTAGTATGTATGTTAACTAAACTGACCAAAATAAAGAACGGCAAATAACTGTTGCATAATTCATATTTTACAATAAATTTGTAATGAATTTTGTTCCAGCTCTGACCAAACATGCCTAATTAATGCAGTAAGTGCTCGAAGAACTGCTGGCTTACCCACAAACACATCACAGGTCTCAGTTCAGCATATCAGTGGGAGATAAAAATTTAAGAACCAGCAACATGGCAAAGTGTCATATTTTATTCATGCTTTTCCTGACCTCTTGTTTTCATCTTCACCCATGAACAGTTTTATCATGCCTGTGACCAGCCAGGCATTGTGGTCTTCTGCATCATGGAGTATGACGTGCTGCAGTTCTGTGACTTCCTCGGATCGCTCATGTCTGTGTGGGTCACTGTCATCGCCATGGCCAGACTCAAGTCCATTATCAAACAGGTAAAAATCACTCCGATGCAAAATTCACAAAGCAACCAATTACCATAAACCTTGAACTTCTGCCATTTTTTTTTAAGATATTAGATATTAAATTTGTGCAGTGTCTGTTTTAAATAATGAAAATGTATGTGCATTAACAACTGCCAATCAACAATTAACATGCAAAATGTGGCTAATTCTGAATGAATTCTGAAAAATGTGGTGAATTCTGTCGAGACAGAAAGAAGAAAATAAAACACTTTTGCAAAATACATTACATTTTACATTATTATATCATTTTATATTATTATTTCATTTTATATTATATTATATTATATTATATTATATTATATTATATTATATTATATTATATTATATTATATTATATTATAAATCTGTCTATAATCATATTAAAATCGAAGAATTGGTGTCTTATGTAAATGTAGGCTACTCAGAAAATCTCTGGTGAGGTCGCGAGCTGTCAAAGACTTTGCCTTTCAGTATGAGCCCTAAAAAGTTTCATTTAGTTTAACGTGTTTTCTCATTAAACGCAACGAAAGCGTATGCTTCGCGTTGTTGTGTCAGAATCCTTGTGAAATACAGCCATACTTAAGAATGCTTAGTTTAAGCAAGTTTTTGCAGTCCACTTAGAATCCAACTTGGAAATATATTTTTTTCTTTATTGGCATTGATTGTTTTGAAATTCAAATGGCATTAACATGGCTGTGTTTTAGTTTCTGTAATAAATATGGCTGTCAAGCCAGGATCTTGATGGTTTATGGTATGTTGTTTACATGAAGAAATCTGTGTTACAAGTTAAACACAAATTCTAATAAACAAATATATTTTAAATTTAAACAGTTTTTGTTTTGTGTTTATATTAATTTTACATTTGAATAGCCAAAATGACAAGTTTCTGTCTTTTGAAAGTGATTTATCGCGATTAATTTTTAAAAAGTGCTATTAATTCATTATTTTTTTATCGATTGACAGCACTAATATACATATATATATATATATATATATATATATATATATATATATATATATATATATATATATATATATAGTCTATTTGTCTATTTTTATTTTTCTATTTGTGATTAAATATAAGCAGCTTTTGTATACATAATGTGCTTTTTATTAAAGAAAGATCCTGAACTTTTGAAAATGTACTTTCAGTGTCCAAAATTGTCTTTTTCAAGGCAACTGTATATAAGAACCACAAGCTGATGGTTAAAATTACATATGAAGGCCCTGGAGCCCGGAAATGCTAGATATTTCTTGTGTCATCAATTTCTATAAATTCATTTTGTGTGATTCATAGAGGCCAGTAGTTTTTCATGGACTTTATTGCCAAGAAAAAAGCTTTCCAAGATGTGCAAGAGAGCAGAAATTTTGTCCACCACAGTAAACCGCTTACACAGAGTGTAAATATACGAATGTCAGCAGTCTGTCATGTGCTGCCATAATGATGGTGACATTTGGCTGTGGAGCTGAGTAAATATAGGTGGACACTTCCAGGTGTGCGGATGTGCACTTTCCCCTTACTGTAGTATAGTCTTCAGCTGCTCAACCGCAGAGGGAAAGAGTAAGATTTAAGAAAAGAGAAAGTCTGCAAGACTGAGATTTACTCTGAGTTTGACTTATTTTGAACCAGAAAAATGAAGCGAGAGGACTTCTGCTTCTGAAAAAAGCCTTTAATGAAAAGAACAAGAAAACAATAGCTCTCCTTCAGGGAGAATGTTTCTATATATATATGCACGGTGATTGTGTGTCTGCACCTGTGAATGTGTTTTGCTGAATGTGACAGTTTTGCAGACACTTATCAAACCACCCATGTCACAACTGTTCTGAACTTTACAGAGGAAGGAATGGAGGAAGGAGACATTTTTAGCCGCACCTCACTGTACTTACAGGCTGTCTGACAGAGGGTGCCCACTACAAGATGGCCCTAATTGGACTGGAGATTCGCTATGGCCTCTAGAAATGATAAGTTTTCGATGTTTGGGCTAACATTTTTTTCTCTTTGTCACTCTATTACAGGTGCTGTATTTACTGGGAGCAATGGCTCTGTCTATGGCCCTACAGCTAGATCGACACGGCCTGTGGAACCTCTTGGGTCCCAGTCTTTTCGCTTTAGGCATCATGGCCATCGCTTGGGTATGTAGCATATTTTCTGTTAGTTTATGACTATAAAGCATCTTATTAAATGTTTAATACATCATAAAACATGGCAGAATGCATGCCAATTATACTAGACGTGGCCCGGAGCATAAAAAATTAACAGATGTTGGTTGCGGTAGCAGGATAGAGGCGTTGTTGTTTGTTACAAATAATTATCCTACCATACATAATCTAAACTATATGTTGCCATGTTTGTCTTCTAAGGCTATAGCATTTTGAGGGTATAGACCTGTGATTTAATTTGTCATAGCTGGTTTATCTTTTTCAGCCTGGCCGAGCAGATATTTAGCTAATTTTGTTGGACTGCCAGTTGGTCTCCCAGCTGGTTTAAGCAAGCGTTACTATACACCCGCCTCACACTGTGCAATTTCAGCCATGACTTGGTCATCTGAGACAAATTTTGGAAGCTTTCTGTAATCGTAGACTAAAATCTGTGGCCTTTTATTGTTGGTTGGACATGTTCATCGACTACAGGTTAATGTCCATTACAATACAATTTACCCTCTAATGACATTTTGGTAGTGTCTGAAGATTTGTCTCAGATACGTTCCTGCAATGTGTCTTTAAACCTGGAACCAATAGTACATGAAATCTGATTTGGCGAATTTATTTGCACTGCAGGGAAATTTAAAAAATACATTTGTTAGTTTATTAGTAGGACTAGTTTTATAATCTTAACATGTTCTGAGTAAAGCAGGTCAGGTTTATTTATATAGCACATTTCATACACAATGGTAATTCAAAGTGCTTTACATAAACAGGAATAAAAGAGACAAGTATAAGTAAAACAAGTAAAATAAAAACAAAGAAAAAATGATTAAAAACAGACACAAAAAGATTAAAATGTAAAATTATAAAAGAATGAAAAATAAAGAAAAGACATTATAGTGCGATCTGTTAGACGCAGCACAGTGCATATTCAGTAAAGGCACAGCTAAACAGATGCGTTTTCATTCTTGATTTGAATGTGCTAATGTTGTAGCACATCTGATCATTTTTGGAAGCTGATTCCAGCAGTGGGAGGGGGGTATAGTAGCTGAAGGCCAATTCAGCCTGCTTTGACTGAACCCTTAAAATTTCTGGTTTATATGATCCTAAAGATCTGAGTGATCTGTTAGGTTTGTGTTAAGTAAGCATTTCTGTAATGTATCGAGGTAATAGGCCATCTAGTGATTTATAAACAACTAATAATACTTTAAAATATATTCTAAATGTAACTAAAAGTAGAAATTATGCTACAGATTGTTAATGCTGTGAGGTATAATTTCAGAAAGCAGGTTACTAGACGTATTGCGAATAGATGGTGTCAAACTCTTGATGAGATTTTGACATGGGAATTCATGATTCATGGTTGTAAAGTCAGACAAGCTACAATTGTAAAGAATTATTCAAAATTGCCCAGTGTTAGCCAAGCTTAGATTGGTTTACCCTACTTTTCAGCTAATCCTAAAGCCTAGAAAAGCAACTATTTATATTGTTTAGCTGAATTTAGTCTACTAGTTGGTTCATTTGGTCCAGACCAAGGACAACAAATAATACTTTGCAGTATTTTTCAGCAGCTTTTGGTTCTTTTCACACCACACTGATTGCTCTCGTCTGAACCAGTTGAAACAAACTAGAACTGCTTTCAAATTAGTAGGAATTAATGTGTGGGGTGGTACGGTGGCTTAATGGTTAGCACTGTCAAATCACAGCAAGAATGTTGCTGGTTTGAGTCCCAACTAGGCCAGTTGGCATTTATGTGTGGAGTTTGCGTGTTCTCCCAGTTTTTGCTTGGGTTTCCTTTGGTTGCTTCGGTTTTCCACACAGTTCAAAGACATGCTCTAAGTGATTTGAATAATCTAGTTGGTGTTAGTGTATGAGTGTATGTGAATGTAAGAGTGTATGGGTGTAAGAGTGTATGGGTGTTACTCGGCGATTCATTCTGCTGTGGCAAACCTTGATATATAAGGGATTAAGCTAAAAGGATATAAATGAATGAATGAGAATTAATGTGTGTGAATACTCAGTAAATGAAGAAAGGAGGAAAGTACCGTCTGACAACAAAAAGCTTGTTATATGGTGAGATGACTGGCTGGATCATTGTATATTTCATAATTTGTATCCATAGCTTAGAACAAACTATACATTTCTAGAAGTTAGGGCTTTGCAGCTTAAAAACAATGCTTAAATGCACAGCAAACTAAGGCGCATATTAAGTCAATTCCAAATTTTATTCGCAAGCAACCATGAACCTGTTACTAATGCACTGTTAACAAATTCTTGCCCTTGTCTAATAACACATTGTGGCAGCTGGTTTTGTCCAAAAATGAGCAGTATATTTTGCAGTTGGGTCTGTTCGAGTTCAGATTTTGTTCTAGCCACAAACAAACTGCTCCAGTGTTGCTTTGAAAGCCCCTCTTCAATCTCTTTAAGCAGGTCTCGTTTCACTTGTTTGCTCTGCTGTTGGTGCACACTTGAGCTTGATTGCTGCATTCACACCTGCACAAAAGACATGCACCAACGTGAAAACAAACATTTGTGCAATTAAACTGAACTAGTCAAGCTTAACTGGTTTAAATGGTTTAGCTGGATTAAAGGGCAAATGAAGCACTCAGTCAAGTTTACCTTATTTTGTACATTGGATTTTACTTTAACGAAAGTATATTAAACAAAATCGATTAATGTAACCATTTAGAAGAAAACGGCATGTTTTACATTAGATTTTAGACCTAGGGCGCAGCCATCTTGGAATGTCGCTGTGTCTGACGTCACAGGGTTGGTTCCGTTCGCTTAGCAGAACAGATACAGTGGAAGTAAAGGAGACTGTAAAGCCTAATTTAACCCAATGCGTGAAGTTGTGGGTGTGCAGCTGCTGCAAATACAAGCATCAGATGTGTGTCTTATAAGTATAGATATTTATTCTATTTTTCTTTTCTCCCCTTTTAATTAACGATCATTTGATGCGCTTTGATTCACTTTCTGTATTAAACTGCCTGACTTCCTGTCTGTGATTGTAACGGACTGAACACAGACACTGGACAGCCTTATTTAACCTAATGCATGAAGTTGTGATTGAGCATCACAGAACTGGTGCAAATACAACAAAGACAGTCATATAAGTGTCTTCAGTTGTGTATTTTTCATGCGCTGTGATCCACTGTGATCCACCTGCTCGAGCGCTGCCTGATGAGGGGATTTACATTCAGACTAATGCAACGATTAAAATCATACATGACTTCATGCTTCATTAAGTCACGTCTGTGTGGATTATGTCAAGACATGTTCCCTTTTCAAGTCGATCAACCCGATCTCTCAACATGTATGGAGGATGTAAAAACCGTGCTGATCTTGGTTTGAACATGAGCAGAGGTGAGGGGCTATAGCAGTGAAAAGTAATGATTCACTCTCTGTATTACGCTGCCTGACTGCCTGTGGTTTCAACTAGGTCCGGTACTGACGTAATGGGGCGGGTACTTTCACTTTTTACTGCTACAGCCCTTCACCTCTTCTTATGGCAGGTTTTTATCTTTCATACATGTTAAGAGATTGAGTTGATCGACTTGAAAAGGGAATATGTCTTGACATAATCCACAAAGACGTGACATAGTAAAGCATGATGTCATATATGATTTTAATCGTTGCGTTAGTCTGAATGCAAATCCCCTCATCAGGCAGGGCTGGAGTAGCGTAAGATAGCGGACCACAGCGCATCAAACGTAAGGTATTAACACAAGAAAAACAACTGAAGACACTTATATGCCTGTCTTTGTTGTATTTGCACCAGCTCTGTGATGCTCGTCCACAAGCCGTTTCCTTCTAAATGGTTACATTAATCGAGTTTGTTTGATATATTTTCATTAAAGTGGAATCCAATGTACAAAATAAGGTAAACTTGTCTAAGTGCTTCATTTGCCCTTTAAGTTGGTCATAGCTGTTTTAAACCCGTCTTCAAATGGTCTATAAGTCTTGTGAAGCAGATAATCGGACTGTTTTGCTGGAATGCTAGTTTTTCCTTCCTTCTGTTTAGCTGGAAATTGTACCAGAAATGCATCCAATAGACCAGCACGCAGAATAGAATGCTTTAAGATGTTTATATTTATTTTAACAAAGAAAACAGCACTTTTCAGCATTTAAAATGCATAAAATACAATTGTGAGAGTCTGTAAATGTAACAAATAAAACAATGTGTGCCTGCGTGTCTAAAAATAACCTTGTTCTATCACTCAAATGGATCTGGCAGTTAAATGCCAGCACTAGTTTTTTTTTTTTTTTCTTTGACTGCTGAGTGACAACAAAGCACCTTTTCAAAATCTATAATGTATGAAGGCATTTGGAGTTACCTGGTACACTGTGCCCCCTCCCTCATTCAGGGCTGCATTTGGCTGTGCATTATCATGGTGTGCCATTATAAGTTTCTCTGTTCTGTCAGTATTAGAGAAGCCCTCGCTGTTCCATTACAAGGCAGCTTGTACTTTATGCTAATACCTCCAGCGACCATACTGTTTTCCTGAAGTGAGAAGATAAAAAATAATGGGTGTTGGACAAGGAAAAGTCTTTGCCAGAGCCTCTGGCAAATTACAGTTGAGTGAGAGAAGCACGTCCTCCCCTGAGTCGAAAGTGCTGCTGGATATTGTATATATATACAGAGAGAGAGAGAGAGAAAGAAGAGAAGCCAGTGAAGTTTTGCTGCCGCTACAAAGCTACATTGTGCAATGAGAGAAATAATGAGAGAGAATAGCGAATGCTCAACAAGACCAAGGCAAGTGGAAATCATTTCTTCATTCTGAGACACTGAACTAATGTTTAGAAATTCTACTGGGCAGAATTAAAGACATTCTATTGTTGTGATGTTGTTGCTATACAAAACAGAAAATGTTAAATATATATAATTTTCTGTTTCAGGCATCAGAAATATACAGTGGGTACGGAAAGTATTCAGACCTCCTGAAATATTACATGGTCCTAAGTATTCAGACCAAGTGTACCCCCCATGC